GCGTACCACTTTTAGAACAACTTGATAATTGTTAGATAAATAGTAGAAATGTAATAACAACACAGTTGTAAGCTTTGCTTCGGAAATTTACTGAATGTGTCATCGTGAATTGTAGGTGGATGAAACGATGTAAACTTAAATGTAAAAAATAACAAACAAACAGTAGTCATCTATAAGAGTTGTTTTTGTTAATTCTTATTTTATTTTTTCAGTTCTTTAAATACTTAAATACCCGCCGAACACAGAACAGCCTTTTTGACTTTGAAGTCGTTGAAATGTGATGGACCCTAATTTTTTCTTAAATTAATGACTTTAAATTACATCAAATAGAGCGTCTGGGTAAATTGTTTAATTGAATTTCATTCTTATCACCTCAATAAAGTGGTTTGTAATTATTTCCAAAACTTTTATCTGTTGCCCGTAAATGTATACAACCAGTACCGAGTACAGTTAAGTGGTTTGGACTGATATTTTTTGTCGGCCACTATTTATTGGTCTGATTGATCGGGTGGCTTGGCCAAATACCGTTTAGACAACTTTATTACCGATCAAGTTACCGTAAAAGTAGCATTAGGTTTATGGTGCAATCACTGAACAGCCGGTCGTAGGTAATTCATGGGGCATATACAAATTTGAACCCTAAAATTGGTACATTGAGATTGTTAGATTTGCTTTTAGTTGTTTTGTGACCGAACCGTCTGAGATTTTGTCGTTGGTGCATTTAATACAGCAAATAAAGAAATGAAAATAAAATCAGATATAATGAATATATTGGTGACTTGAAAACAATAAGATTTTATATCCCTGGTCCTGTACAATTATTTCAATATGTAAAAAAAAATATTTACATGTATAGATGTTAGTGTACCTTAAATAAATATCCCGTCTTTTTTATTTTAAAAAATGATTAGTATCCAAAATGTATCGTAAAACAGAATCTGCATCATCTGTATTCCTGCAATATAAGTTTAATCAACTTCCAGACGTTTAAGATGTCCATTGCTTGCAAATTTTTCTTAATAAACAACAAGCAAGAACTTTGCGAAACCACTAAGTCTAAATAGGTTCCTTTATCAAAGTATCGGCAAAGTCTTGTCGAAGTTGTTATTCGGAAGTGGGCTTGCCTTTTTATAAAACATGTCCAAGTCTTTTAACGCTGCACTCCGCAATAGCTAAAGTTGGATCGTTGTGAGCTTCTCGTTTTACTTCGCAAGCGGAACTCAAACTTTTAAAATGACTTATAAACTCCACAGTAAAATTGCATTGAAGAAAAATTTGACGTCTATGACGGTTATTAATGACATCTCACGGCTAATTGATGAAATCATCGCCATCTTTTATTCATTTCATTTTCATTTTACATGTAAAAATTTATTTATTTTCTTGACATTGGCAGAATAGGGATGATGACTAATTTTTGTTTGTTTGTCCGTCAGGTAGAATGTTAAAAAATATTAAACACGTATTTTTTTATTTTTTTCGTAATCATAAAATTACGGCGTTACATGGAGTTGAAATTTCGCATGACGTCACGTTATGGTACGTTTTCTACTCAACTGAGACGTAGCGAGCCCCCACTCCTCAACTTTAATGCCTGTTATCTAAGCTATTTCTTGTTAAATTAAAGTAAAAAAAATATGTATCTAATATTTTTCTATTATCAGACTGACGGAATAAATAGAATTGTATTTTTTTTTACCCAGTCTTCATCCCTATTGTGCGAAATGCGCAGATATGCCATTGATTAAAAAAGAAGAAGAAGTAAGTCCCCTACATCATTATCACGTCTAGTTACCTGGGTAGGGCAGTTATATTACTCTTATTGTTTCCAACTATTCTGTTTTCATTTTAATAATTAGTTGTTTTCCTGCGATTTCGCCAGCATCAATTATAACTTTTTATTAGCGCTTATAATGTAGCTTCCGGTAGGTGAAAGAATTTTTCAAATCAGTCATGGAGAGTCGGAATCTATTTAATCAAACAGATAATCAAATTTTTCTTTTTATTTTATTAGTATAGATGCATTTCAAATACAAATCGCGGCACATACCTAAGTTGAACTATGCTATATTCCCATGTAATGAAAACTTTTCTATCCCGATAATGTATAACAATTATTATACTACCTGGAATGATAATCAAATAACCATTCTATATCAACCATTGTGGTAAGCCAGGTGGCAAAGCATCTGTCAAATAGAGGACAGTGTTATGCAAAACTATTAAAAGACGCAAAAGAATTCTGTATTACAAGCGGCATTTAAAATTATCATTTTCTATAATCCACAATAACACATCAGTAAAGTTCCGAAGCAAATATTCCAACTGTGTCGTTATAACATTGCTACCAGTTGTCTAACAGTTAGCAGGTTGTTCCATAAGTGGTACGCGATGTATGACAATGTAGGCTTGTTCGATTTCGATTTAGTGTTTCGGAATACACGTCAGAAGTGGACTGACGACAATGCGACTCAACCTTGAACCCTGCGCGGACGATGCTCCATGCAGCGTGCCAAATTTCGTCCATTGGTGACACATACATTTCATGGTCACCAATTTTCAGACCAATTGACGTTGAAATGAATTTGTTGTAATATTTTAATTTTATTTGATATATAAAAAAAGTCATTTATACTCTTTTAGATTAAAAGAAAACAAAATCACGCTTTTTGGAAAACTGTATTTTTAATGTGTTTTCAGTCAGTATGAGTAAATAGCTGCATATTTTTGTATACACATTAGTGATTTTTCATTTCATGAAAAATAATCCCGACAAATATCCTCAATTATTTTCTCTTTGCAGATCTAGTATATTTACACGGTCTATATTTTAACAGGCTTAATTACTTACCCGTGTAAAGTATAACAGTATGCTGAGATCGGTTAGCGAACATAAATTACTGTACACTTTGGATCCATGCCAACTTAAATGTCCATAATAAATACCTGAAGTTACTAGTTACTAACGACAGCTACACACGATCCATTTTGTATATTTATTGATATTAAATATTTTACAACTTCAAAACCAAACGTTGTTTGAGTAAAACATTAGTATTTTGATATCGCAGTGCTATTCTGTTAAAATTACAAATTCGAACACATCTTTAAACATGGTGCTGTCACACAACATATTTAAGCAAATAAAACGTCTATATATATAATTTATAATAATTCGCTTTAAGAGGTAATAAAGGTTTAATTTTATTTAATCCAATGCTGCAAAAACGCTGTGTCTTTTTTACAGACTAGGAAAGCAGATATAAAGATCTTTAGAAATATCGCTGCCATTGTTCCTTCGAGGTATTTAGAAAATTCTTTCACTAATTGGAAGCTACCTACATCACAGGCGGATGACATAACAGCCTGTAGTAAATACTCTGATTCTTTGACATTACATTGTAAGTATTAGAATATCAACGGAACTGATATTAGATGTTCCGGGTACGCTTTAATAATAATATCAAGCAGGAATCCTTTCATTTCGTTCGGTCCCTCATCTCGGTTGACTCTTTCGCAGCATTAATATGTGCGGTCTTATTCTCCTATTCGTTCGTCTCCTTCGATGAATGGTTTGCTTGCACTATCATGTAGTGCTTTGCTTGATGTAAATTCTCCATAAGTATGTACTATGCTTACATATGATACGTGCTTACATTGCTTCGCCGTATTCAATTGTGATCCAAGTGTACTTATATTAAACACACCCTCGTCAGCAGCTGTCACCTGTCTATGTGGCTTCGCTACCCCAATTTACTTGCGGTTATAGATTAAATAATAATTAGCACGATCCCTCCTGCTCACTAACATTCGCGTTGCCACGTGTCTTTATATAAATTACGTCGTTAATAAAAGGATGTAGGTAGATACAAGACAATTTGGTTGTGATGATGACATGTGAAATATTAGGGTTGTATTAGCTTTGCTTCTTATTAAAACCAGTGTTGAATTTGTCGTTGAGCGAAATGCGGCCATATCATAGAGCTTCGATGATATAAAACCGTTTACTTTTTGAAGTAGGTTTTATTTAATTTAATTTTTATGTAATGATAATGTTATGCTCGACGTCGAATTTGTTGTATGAATGCCCCCTTTTCCTGGTATCAGATTAGTAACAACCTTTTTCTAATCTACAAATATGAAATCCAAAATAAAGCAAGTAATAATCGAACAAAAACTAATCGGCCCATCGTTAATTACGTATTTTAATTTCGATTTTATACTCGAAGAAAGAAAAGAAATTACCATGGATCTGACCTAGAATTCTTTTCTCAAGATTCACCTATGTACATAACATCAGTATAGTATTATGAATTTGATATTTATCAGTATTATATTAGATTACATTTTTTAATTCATCGAGAATAATAATATTACATACTTTCGCTTTACATAATAGCCGCATCCACTTCGAGCGATTCATCTTAGATCGTCAACATATGGTCAACCATTCAGCGATTCAAGGCAAAGACCAGGGGTTCCCAAACTTTTTTAGTCTACTGCCCATTTTTAGAATAAAAAAACCATTTAAAACTACTGTAATTTCAAATTTAATAAATCATTGTAAACTATTATTTTACACTTTTACTGAAAACCACAAAAGTTAACTTGATGAGCGCAGTAGGTAGTAGACAAGTTTCAAATTAATTCTTCCTACCCTCTCCACAACGCCCCCTTTTTTTCTGGGTCTCTCGCCCTCATTTAAGCCTGCAGCGCTCACAAGGGGGCGTTGACACCCACTTTGGAAAGGCTGGCATAGACAAATGCTTCAGAAATTCTATAGTGCCGCTAAGATTTCGTGTAACTAAATTTAGGTTAGAATAGTTGCCCGGATTACGAAAAGTTACGAGTTCAGATCCAATTTTGTTTTGAATTAAAAGAAAAACAAACTTAAATTGTTTGTTTTTCTTTTAATTTCAATGAGATAAATCCTTAATTTAAACTGTAAAGTGTTATTCTTTGTAATAGTCATTTTAACATCGGTATTTTTATTCATTCAGGGCCCATCTGTGGGGGACAGTGTTGCGGTCGAGGACGCGAAGCGCAACTACGCGCGGCACTACGGAAAAATGCGGAGCATCGATTCAAGACCACCATCACACCACTCATGGAACTGCTTCTGTCCACAAGGAGAACGCTGCAAGGTTAGTAGTTAAATAAATCTTCATACGAGAGTACAATATAACATTTTATTTGGAAGCTGACTCGGTGAACTTCGTATCACTTTATAATTATATGCAATCGGGTCTTGTTCGTGCATTTTTTAAAACAATTAATTTGCTACGTGCTAAGGAAAAATGGATACAGCGCAAGGAGGTCATACCCTATCCAAAGGTGTAAGGAAAGACTACCTAAGGTTCCCAGGCAACGGGCATTTTTAGGCTATGTTAAGGGGGGTAACGGACAAAATTGGTTCCATTTTGAGGAAAATTTTTCTATAGACACCATTTTTACTCCTTTATCAAAAATGTCACACCAATTGCGATCACCAAAGGATAGTATTCCTTACCAAAAACCTGGCGTTTATAAAATTGACTGCAGCTGCGGTAGTTCATATATCGGACAAACGAAGCGGACTATCGCCGAACGTGTAAGAGAACACATAGCAGCGGTCAAAAATCGTCAAGTGGAGAAGTCCGCGATTGCAGAGCACTTATTATCATCTGGATCAAACCACTGGATCGAGTTACATACACCTCATGTCCTTTCCACTGAACGACATTACTATCCAAGGATTGTTCGTGAAGCGGTTGAAATCAAAAAACACAACAATTTCAACCGGGAAAGTGGATATAAACTCTCACCAACGTGGAATCCGGTTATAAAAATGTATAAGTGTCGCGATCGCAAACAACCACGAACAATATTCTCGGATACCGTAAGTGCAGTGTGTCGCCACCTTTACGTATAATAAAATCAAGTGGAGGGTACATCTGAAAATCAGTTAAAAACATTATTACCGGATTACCCTCAACTAAAATCAGAAGACGACACCCGCCAGTTCTCCAGTCTCCTCGTGACCACGGCTGCTGTAACGTAGCCGAAACGTCGAGGTAAATTAATTGTTTTAAAAAATGCACGAACAAGACCCGATTGCATATAATTATAATGTATACAAATCGTGTGAGTTTAAAAATATTCGTATCACTTACCTCTTAATAAAAACTATATAATAGGGTCATCATTATAATTAGGATTTAAATTAATAATGTTTTCGTGCACTTATAAAAATAATGGCATATGCTGTTGCCATTATAGTTATAAGTGCACGAAAACATTTATTTTTATTTTTTTCACGTGCTGTCAAGATGAACCATAGATTGAAAAATGTTGTGTAAACTGACCACTACACAACCATAAATATTGATCGTCAACCTTTCGTCAACTGAACGTTTGACAGCTAAGAACAGTTTGTATGGGAAAGTCAAATTGTCGTTTTTAGTATTATACTCGCAATTTTTTCATATTTACTCATCGTTTAAACCTTCCCATGACTTCCACGAATATTTCAAGACTAAAATTTGTCAAATCGGTTCAGCCGTTCTCGAGTTTTAGCGAGACTAACGAACGGAAATTCATTTTTATTTATATATTATATATATAAGATAAACAGTCAAATAGACCTCGACTATAGAGCAATATTTTAATAAGAGCAATATTTTCTAGTTTTTTTTTCGTGACTTTAACCGCGTAAATTATAGCCTATGTCATACCCGTATTGATGATAAATAAAATAAATAACATTCATTTGTGTCATATATAATTAAGATAAAAAACACTATAGTTTGAAAGACTGTATAATACAGGAAAGTGACCAAATATGAAATATTTTCCCTTAGATGGAACACTTGAATTTCTTTGAATAATTATTTATAAAAAATAATAATCTTTAAAATAAACCAATCTACAACCAGATTGCTGGATCTATAAATTTACATTCTTTTTCCCCTTTTACGAGTATTCCATATTGGGGATACATATTTGGTTAATCTCCTCTTCCTCAATTTAAAGAAAAAAAAAATCCGCGTCAATCGATACATTTTCATTAAAATCCAATGTTCTATGATAAAAAAAGACACCATTAGATGTAAGTAAGCGGTTTTTTTCTGACGTCCGAATTAATCTGTGGATTTTGGCGGCCCACAATCCGCTGGATTAGGTCTCGACAGGCGCCGTGTGGTCCCCGGAGATCCGACTCGAGATTACTGTGACATATTACTCCACCTTTCTCTATGACTTTTTTACCAAGCGGTGATAAAATGTCACTCACTAATTTAATGTTTTACGCGGCCTTGCAACGGTGAATAGTGGTCCTTATCAGCTAATGTGACATTAAACCTTTTTACTAAAGATTCTGTTTAGTGTTTACCGCAAAATCGACCCTAGGTCGAGGCTGCCTGAGGTGAATAAAAATGTTTCATTCGACATAAGGTAATGATCCACGAATATGGTTTTCCTGTAACAGTTCTTAAACAAATTTTGGTCTTGAAATTTTTAAGCATTTTTTAACATTTTTTCTTTAGACATGTTTCGATATCATATTTGAAGAAAATAAATGTAAAATTAGGTAGGAGCTGGCTTATCTCCACTAGCAGCACCCCTTCACGAGCATGACCATATTTAAGGGTACATAACAACACTGCCACCACAGATATTTATTCTTTAATAACACTAATAAGTTCGCATTACCTTTCGTTATTAATTGACAATAAACATTTAAATCCCCCCGTGAACGCTTCCTTAAATCAAATAAATATCAGAGCGCACAACCCCATCGACATTCATGAAACAAGCAGCAGTCGCTATTCAATTATCGAACGCAATCACGTATTTGTTGTTTCAATAACAGATCAGTCGTGGTAACCAGATGTATTGGATCATTTCTATTCGGCCCTACCGCAACCGCACTATTGCTGAGGACACTCAGAAAAACAAATAGGGGGGTATCCAAACATTCATTATACGGACAATTGTTATTCGAACAAACACTCGTCCTGTGCGTCCTCAAAATTGGGCATTAGTGCCTTGAGATTTGAATAGAATAGCGTGGAGATGACTGTAATAATATTTAACTCACTACCAACAATAGAATACGTGAGAACAAATGTTAGGAATGAAAACTAAACGGGCGTTAGATACAATGACTCTCATTAAGTATGGAGTTTCTACATACTAATATATTGTAAGGGATCCTCTGCCGGCTTATGGCTGGTCTGAAAGGTATTATGTGTATAATAAATATAAAATATGACTTCGTGATTAAAGAAATTGTGTGCAAGAATAACTTCGTGTCCAAAAAAAAAACATTTATCCACAATGAAGCATGCCGTGGCACATAATTGCACAAATGTCTATTAAAGTTAAATAATAACTTTAACACTAAAGTGTTTAAAAACAGCTTAAAAGCTGTAATGAATGTTCTAAGTTATAAGAATTGCATCGGTATTGTCGCTTTAACGTAATGAAATTTTAATGGATGTTTGTGCACCCGTGGAGTATGTTGAATATTATAATAAACGCATATTATCAATATCTGTTCAGACCCCCATAGAGAACTTAGCACTTTTATTATGATTGAATTAAGATTTGGCTAAAGCTGCAAAATATTGTACTTCCCCTTCATGTCCCGCATCTTACTTGTCAATTAGACAGACGAAGATAGACGATGGCGCATTGTACAGTCAACAGCACGTCAAGCTATGCAAACTTAAAATTTTCCACTTGATGTTAAACCTTAGTGCATTGTTGGTAGAGTTTAAAATCAATTGTGAAAATTTGATATGTTGTCGTAGCATGACGTACAACCGTGTGTACGGTATAAGATACGTATATAAAGTAGTTTTTTAATCGATTACTCACAAAACGGTAGTTATTTTAAAATCAAAGTACTATGTGAGTACAGATGGGCAACAACCCGGGTTTTCTCTTACCGCCCATTTTTATATGTAAGCAAATATAATAAAGTTAAATAACAATTATTTGACTGGAATTTAAAAATTGTTTTTACTATCTTTATTAAAAAGTGTTCAGCGTTTCAAAATTATCTTAAATAACTGCGTTGCTTAGAAATATGATGAGATCTCAAACTAATTTTGATAAAAGCTGATTTGTATTTTATATGTTCGATAATAATTAATTTTACATAATATGCATGGTGTTTTTTCAACATTTTTGAGGTTCAATCCTCCAACAGTGGTACAATGCTAAACAACGCTAACAACACTTAGAGGTTCAATCAAATAAAAGTCTTATTATCTATAGAAGTAGGTTTTATTCTATAAAACGCTGTGCGCTTTTAGCGGAATAGCTTTGCTTGGTTAATCCTGGATCTACTATTATGGGTTATGGCTGTTATAATGACAGATTATCTATACTTTATTCTTGCTCGGACGCTTTAACTACAGATTAACAAATTAATGTAACATTATGAAGCATATGCTGTACAACGATTTAACTATAGTAATTGCAAAATTAATTTTGAGCGTAAATTTTTCATACAACATTTTCTTTTTACCTTTGTTTAGAATACTCATACTTCATGAAGTATATATTGGACGATTATGAGACTAAGATGCGTTCAGGGAGCAAAAATTAACCTAAAAATAAAGTCCATGACGAAAAAAAAAGTAATTGGGAGAAAAACTTATTAAAAAATACCCAGTACAACCTGTGTACAACGCAAATTTGAAGGCTATTTTTCATGGTAGTAGAAGGGTACCGCACCTTTAAGGTGTTAATTAGAGTTTAAGCCAACACGTTTTGTAAATTTTTGGTACTAAATGAGAACTAGAGACTGAGTATTCCTGCACTATTGTTAAAAGACTCGTGCTTTTCACTAAACTTAGGTGTCTCCAGAATCTCTCGCCTAAATATTTAGGAATAAAAGTGAAAATACATTTCAATAATGAATAAGAAGCCTCTAGCGATGCTTTATACGTTGCCTCGCGCTAGGCATTTGCGTATATGACAAATCAGAAATGTGTCAAGGGTAGTCTTTAAAGTTTCTGGAATTCTATCAGATTTTTTTTAGTTTCAGGGATATTTTAACTTGGAAAATGACTGTATTATATAGATGAAAATAAATATTATAACTGATTCATATTATGGCGATCCATTCCCGGACGTGCCAATCGTTGCACGTTTA